CTCCAGATCCGCAGCATTGGGGCTGCAGAAAGGGACTGAGGGGAAGGAAGAAGCATTTTAAAATTATTTTTAACAAAAGCCTGATGTTGGAGCTCCCTTGAGCCTCCTGCCTTGTGTGGGGCACCCTTGGCACCCCCCTTTTTTTTTTTTGTGCTGGGGTCCCTGTAACGTTACAGGGCAGATGAGCTCTCCCAACCACATGTTCTCAACCCAATAAATAAATTGAAGAAGAAGCTGCAGCCCCCATAACATGAGGGCCGTGGCTGCCAGACCGCGCGGGGCCGACACGGCCCTGACCCTGCGTCCTGGCACACAGAGACATCTCGTGGCTCCGCAGCCCTTCTGGGAGCGCCCGCCAACAACTCGCAGCGCCTCAAGAGTGGAAAAGCTTCTAGAAGTTGCTTAATCCAATGCCTGTGTTCATACAGTATTAACCGCTGTGCAGGCGGCTGGTTCTGACGGGTCGCAGTCTGTGCAAACCTCAAGGAAAGCTGCTCCATGAGGGATTGAAAAAGGGTTATTGCATTTCCCAGCATAATTGGAAAAGGAAGCATCCTCAAGCGTTGGTGTTTTCAGAAGGCTCTTGCAGAGAGGCTGCCTCTCAATAACTATTCATGTTTTAGGCAATCGCTGCGGCAAGGCAGCGCAGCAGCCACCTCGGAGCCACGGAGCTGCAGCGGTCGCTGCTCCCCGAGGCTCTGTGCCCACCTGGAGCTGCAGGTTTCCTCCTGCCCCTCTGCCCTCCAGGCTTGGCTGCAGCGGGTCCCTCCCCTAGCCCGATCCTGGGAAAAGTCTTCAGGCTGGAAAAAAACACCATAAATGAACACAATGTAAAAAATAATGCGTAGCCTTAAATACGGCGTGGTAAAATGCAGATGGGACGACACCTACATTCTTGTCAACAGCCTGGAGAGGGAGCAGTGAGAAGTCGGGCGAGAGTAGCTGCTTCCCTGGGCTGTGCCGAGGCAGAGTGTGCAGGATGCACAAGAGTTCACGTCAGTAGACTTAATAAATTAAAAAACAGATCTCATTTATAAGCAATTTTATCATAGCAGCTAAGTTACTTACGCAATAGATCGCTGTTGCCTCAGTACTCAGAGGAACTGTTTAGAATTTATCTCGAGCAAACGTTTGAATGATACAACTCTGTAAGTATTTTTCATCTGTCAAAATCTACAAATCTGGTCAAAAATTCACTGATCCTCTATTGACTCAGTTCATTTTTATTCTATTAACAAATTAAGCTTTAAGTACATGAACATTATCATACTTTCACAGCAGTGGAGCCTATTTGATTTCTTTTTTATTTTCCTCTCTAAGTGATCATATTTCTATAAATTTTGAACGTTGTAATATAAATAATACACTGCTGCCTGCCATTTTTTAAAGAATTTTCCTAAACAGAATGACCATATTTTAAAATAACCATAAATAACTATGGGTTATAAAAATTAAGCCTGTGATTCAACATGAGGGCAGATGATAAACCTTTACAGGTTTCTGCTCTTCTTGTCTTTGATTTCTGTCATTTATTGAAATCTGAAAGTATGTTTTCAGAAGGGCACAAGGTTGTTTTCCTGTTGCACATGTGAAAATAAGGCAATCGTATTTTGCAAATGCTGAACAAAATGAGTCTAACCCTTTAAACCCCAGCCACAGCAGTTCCTCTTTCCGCAGCAGTTATTGGGCTGCATGTAGTTATTGCATTTCTTTTCTGAATTAAGTTGCCTTCAAAAAGCAGGCACCTTCCTCATGAGCGGCGCGAGGCTGCAAGTCTCAGGCAGTCCAGCTCCTCTAATTACTGTGGCTTTGAGATGGGAAATTCATGCAAATCAATGAGTTTGCTTTTACAGCAGCGTTGCAAGGGGTAAAATTCCCTCGTGCTCCCTGCCCAGTTGTTTTGCTTGTGGCCTCGGATGGGTGAGGAGCTGCAGGTGGGAGCTGGGGTGGATGAAACGAGTTCGCTGCCAGGCAAACGTAGGAGGAGGCCCTGGGTCTCCTGATAACATGAGCTTTAGATCAGGTTGGTTTAGATCTCAGGTTATGGCGAGCAGGTTCCCCCTGAAACAGGTGCGTCATTTTAAGTCCATGTTGTCCGGTCACTGGAGGGGACCACTTTGTCACAGCTGATTTCAGCGCTGGGTTTTTGTGTTGATAGGATGTTAGCCCTGTTCCCTGCTTATCGGGGAGGAAGGACAGCAGCACTTGACGTGTCACCCACCCAAGAAAGAGGTC